CAGTAATTTTATGAAAATAGCTTTCCATCTTCATTTGCTAAACCAACCCCCCAAACGTGAGCACACAGTAGTAGCAGAAAAGATTTCTGAACAGATAATTCTTAAACTCCACTACTGCTGAAGAGAGAATGGAAATAAGCAGGATCTTTTATCTGGAAATCTTACCTTCTTTGGGGAATGGCAGGCTTATTAAAATTTGGAACAGTCTTTGGAGTGCATGATTTAAGTTACTTACTGTTTAAACTCCCCACCCCCAACCCCGCTATGGCAAGAAAGGCAAAAAAAGAACCTTTGTGTCACCTTTCTGCCTCAGATTTGTTTAATAAATTCAGTTCCTAAAAAGTAGAAGGAAATTTGATGTTTGAATTAGATTTCCTACATTTTATTGGTATCTTTTCCCTTCCCTTACGTGAGGAAGTATGAGGAAAAAGCTTGGTTTTGTTTCAGAACATCTTGGTTTCCCTTTAAGTTTTTAAACGATTAATGTTAATAGCTGAGGCAGAAGTCTGATGCTGTTATTTGTTTTTCTTGCTGCAAATTAACTAATATTATTTAACACCTCCCACCCTGCTTCCTAGAGCTTTTTTGAAATAATGTAAATGAAGGTTATCTGTGCCAAAGATATAATATTTTGCAGAGCGAAGACACAGTCCTGCAACTTGGTTCAATGCAGTTCAGGCCCCCCAGTGAGAATTGGGAATGACTGCTGACTAAATGGCAGGGTTGCTTTCTGGAAAATAACTTCCTCCTGTAATCTTGACAAAAGCTGCACGGGAAAAGGCAATGTAGTTTTTGGAGTGGTGTGTATATATGCTTGTAGTTTGAAGCAGAAATTGTTATTGATACAAGATCTAGTTTGACGGATTTGGGCTCTTTTTGTTTCTGGAAAATAGCAGCAGTTTTGCTGTTTATTTCATCAGAGCTACCTTTTTCTGTCCTTCTAAACATACCAGAGCCCATAACAAATTTCTTCTTAGCTTCTTTCACAGCAGATTATGATCTCCAATAAATTGGAAGATGTATATTTCCCTTACGTTTTCTGTTTCCAATCTGAAGTCCCATAGCTCTGTTCACATATATTTTCAGACCTAATTTTTCTGCTGTCATAAATGCACATCTCCTTTGGAGTCAGTGTGATTTTACCTGTCTACCCCAGTAGTGAACTCAGAACGGCACTGACATGTCCTCACTCCAAAGCTTCACATTTTGGACAGATCATAAAACGAACTTCAGAAAGAAAAATAGTGACTATGATAAATTTGTATATATTTTTAATTACTCATTGATTTCATATGTTAAAATGAAACCAAAGTTTTAAATGCCCTACTGGGTATAATCTCATGTACTGGATAAATTGCATACTTAAAAAGAAGTCAGTCTTGATTTGCAGTGACAGGGTATTCTCCAGGTATTGTCCTGTGAGTTTTCCTGAGTTCTCTTTACTCCCCTACAATGCATACATCATGAGAACTGATAATTTTTCCACTGCCATTTTGATTTTCTGTCTTCTTAAAAATACCACTTTGATTGCGCAGCTAGGCTATCTCAGTCAGTTCAAGGGCTGTGCCTACAAATATATAGCACACATTTGTGACTTTTGTATGTGTGCGCGCCTTTTGGAATTAAGGTCTCTCAAATACTTTTCATTATGTGAAATAGGCACAGAAAGAAGAGCTCTGAATTTAACACTTACATTGTTCTCTTGCCTCCAAAAATACTGCTGGAAGGATGACTGTTGGTTTTTTGGTAGCAGTCACACAATTACAATATAAAACTTTATTGAATGTGAGAACTTGTTTTTTGAGGAGGAAGAAATGTTTATTACATTCAGATTTGTTTTACCTGGCATGGATGTAGCTGTTGGAATTCATCTCCCGTACATTACTGCTTCTCCTATGTGGCTGGTGTTTTTCAAGGAAATCGTAGACCTAAAAATAGTCTGCATAAACAACAGTAAGAGGTTTGTACTTTCAGTTCCAGGTTTTAGAAATCTCTCATTTTCTAATTGTCAGAATTTCCAAAACTCATGGAAGTAAAAAAGAGAGTTTGTAGAAGCCTACTTTAAAATGTTACACTTAGGTGCATATTGTGTGGAGAGACTGGAATGTTTCAAAGTTGCAGGGGTGATTAATAAAACAGGATTCATAATGCAGCAAGAATTCCTGCATTAAATGTCCTCCTGCTTGTGAAATAGACATTGTCACTATATATTCCTGAGACTACAATTTTAAAAGTAGAATGCCTTTAAGTGTAAAACCGGTTGTCTAGGGTGAATCTATAGTTTTACGCTGAACACCTGCATTTTTAATGGCTTTTTTTTTTACTTTGTTACATATTATTTGATTAATAGCCTGCAAGATTTGAGAACAAATCCAGTATGAGGGTTGGCAATACAAGTTTCCCCATATTGCTGGTTTCATGCGTCAGTCTTCAGCTATATCACTGTGAAAACATTGTCAATAGGAGCTGATTTTTAGGTGTAATTTTTCCTAAGATACAGCTCAGTGATTTTGAACTTGCATATCTGGAAATGTATAAAAGTCTGACATGGGTAAGTAGTGACCAAATTTCATTGCTTGTGACTCTTCACTGCCCTGTGGAAGGAATTGTCCAGTTTAGTCTATTGCTCAGCATGTACTTCACAAAGCTGGTATTAGAGTTGGTCTAATTAGCCCTATTTGTAGACTTAACAGAGTGACCAATTAATAAATATGCATGGTAACTGCTTTCTTGACCCTAACCCTCAGTCTGGTGAGAGGTTGAAATGCATTGTCCATAGTATGTAGGAATGGGCAGGGCAAACTTGTATTTCCACTGCTTGTGCTATTCCTGTTTTATGGACAGAGGAGTTTGATCAGAAGGAATTTTAATGTGGAATCTTTAAAAAAAAAAATGGTGCTTCTAGATCATAGGTTCCCAAACTGGGGGTCGTGAAGAAATTCTGGGGGGGAGGGGGCGCAAAGCACCCCCCCCAACATTAATTTCCCCTCCCCGCCAAGTTGTGCTGCTATTTTTGTTTTTTGGCCCCAGTCAGTTCCCCCCCACCACCCTTTTTTTTTCCCAAAAAATTTTGCTGCTATGGAGCGGGGGGCATGAGGGTTTCTCAAAAATCAAAAAGGGGGCGTGATGCTGAAAAGTTTGGGAACCACTGTTCTAGATTATAGTAAATTACCGAAAAAGCTAACTGCTGAGGTATTTTTCATGTCTGTTAGTAATTGTCATGGCTCCTTCCCCACTCTGGCACGATAAATGCAGGAGCGGGGGCCAGCAAAAGTACCCCAAAACCTTATCTACCAGGCTTTGGTATAAAACTTCCCCCCAAAATCTTAACAACCTAGATTTTGGGGATAAAAATCCCATTGCCACCACCCAAGTACTGATAAGAAAATCAGGGGAGAGATCACTTGGGAAATCTCACCCTAAAGTACAAACCAGGACACACACATTAAACAATGCCAGGTTAAGAAAAGAAAAGAAAAGAAAAGAAAAGAAAAGAAAAGAAAAGAAAAGAAAAGAAAAGAAAAGAAAAGAAAAGAAAAGAAAAGAAAAGAAAAGAAAAGAAAAGAAAAGAAAAGAAAAGAAAAGAAAAGAAAAGAAAAGAAAAGAAAAGAAAAGAAAAGAAAAGAAAAGAAAAGAAAAGAAAAGAAAAGAAAAGAAAAGAAAAGAAAAGAAAAGAAAAGAAAAGAAAAGAAAAGAAAAGAAAAGAAAAGAAAAGAAAAGAAAAGAAAAGAAAAGAAAAGAAAAGAAAAGAAAAGAAAAGAAAAGAAAAGAAAAGAAAAGAAAAGAAAAGAAAAGAAAAGAAAAGAAAAGAAAAGAAAAGAAAAGAAAAGAAAAGAAAAGAAAAGAAAAGAAAAGAAAAGAAAAGAAAAGAAAAGAAAAGAAAAGAAAAGAAAAGAAAAGAAAAGAAAAGAAAAAATATTAATATGGATGCGGTATAAGTGCTGTGTAGCTTGGATACATACTTGATACTGACAGGTGTGGTATGGAAAAGATAGAACATAAAATCTGGATCTGGCACAAATAGTGAAAATCAATGAAAAATGAGCAGAGAGGAAAAAACATTCCTATAGTTGAGCTGCATTGATGTAAATATATACTAGAGCCTGTTCTCTGCATCTATTATTTATCTCTCTGCTAGTGGGAAATAAAGCTTGTATTGAGAAATATATGAATATTCTGGAATTGCTGTGAAACAAGTAATTAATAAAGGGGCATCTTGGGATTTTTGCTTCTAGTTAAAATGAAAGGAAATCAGGAGGTAATGATTACTGCTAAAGGCATTTTAAAGACCCAAATTAGCCTTGCTATCTTCCTTAGTTGTATTACTCAAACTGATTAACATAAACCTTGTTATGGCTAATTAATCTTTCATTGCCTACTCAGGTAAGTAAACTAAAAGAATTGCTGCAACTATTGAAGGACAGATCAATTCTACCTTACTTTTAATTTAACAAGCAACACAATTGCAGGGATTTCATCCATTCCTTTGAAATAAAGTACAGTGAAGTTTGATATTTAAAACCATCTTCCAGTCTTACTGTTGTAATAACTAAATGCAATGAAAGAAATATTTTACATAATATCCTAATCTTGGGAATAATGCAAGTTACGTTAGTGTTTAGATATGGATATTTGTTCATATGGTTTGTAAGACTAAAACTGCATGCATGTTTCTTAACAATGAAACTGTTTTGGTAAAACTTGTAATGAGATTATCAAACAGTTGATTAAAGTTGTGTTTGTGGCCCTCTGCTGGATAGTTATAGCCAATGCAATTTTTTTATATCACTGTTGTAGATATAGTTCCATATGTATGTTAAATAATTTATACCATTTCAGCATTCTGAAAATCTGAAATGTAAAACATGCAAAAAAAACCCTTTTGATGACTGATAGCCTATCTCTTATGTGAAGCTTACTCAGAATTTGTAATTAAACTTTAGATACGGATCACAAATTTATTTGACAATGAAAAATGACCTATTTTAATTTTTTCCCAGTTTTCTAGACAAGATTGACATAGTCAAACAAAATGAATATACACCGTCTGACCAGGTGAGTAAAATTGTATTGAGAAATAATATGACACACCCACTATCTATTTTCCATTGCCAAGAATAATAAGCTTTGCATTTCGCAATATATATTTTTGCTTCCTTTTGTCTAATTGGCAGCTGCAGTCCCAACCTGTAGGTGCCAACCTATGTGATACGATATTTAATACTGCAGTGAAAATAAAGTTTACATTTATATGCTTTGATCTCAGCGCAAGTGTGTCAGCAAGACACACAGCAAGAAACTGTGATGAGAAAAACTGCCCAGGTTAAAGTAAAGGTCAGACCTCTACAGTAGTAAAAGCTATCCCTTGTAACGATTGGAATTAGAGCTTTATAATGTTCAAACTCTTGTAGCTATGGCAGTTATTCAGATATTCCTTCTTAACATAAAATTAGTTTATGCTTTCTCAGTTTTCCTGGCTCCTGTTGCAAACTAGCTCTCTACATAGGACAAGGGTCACATTACTTGCAGTTAAAAGGGCTGAAAAGCTATCTTTAACAACATTTTTGCAGGACAGTTTTGTTGTTGTAGTAGGGAAAATGTAGTCTCACTCAGTGTTTTGTAATTAAAGGGAAGTGTAAATAGCACTGGCAAAACTTCCACTGCAAGTGACGCCCATTTTTCTAGCTTGGAAAGGTAGTCATTTCTGATTTCTAAATTTTGTAATAGCTGATGATTATCTATAATTTAATTCATGCTCAGTGTTATCTAACCCCTATTTTCAGGAAGGATTAGATGTGCAGGCTGACTTTTACCCATTTACAACTCTGATTTTCTTTGTCCCTTCTAAAATCACCCTTTCATCTAATTTAATCTAATATTTTACCATCCCTTAAGGGTTCTTCTAATAGTCTCTTCAGAGTTACTGGAAAAGAGCTTCATGTATAGGCAGTTTTATCAATGTGCTTTATTTTTAACACAAAGTAGGTGAGGTGATATCTTTTATCAGACCAGTTATATTTATGAAAAAGATAAGATCTGAAGAAGAGGTCTGTGTAGAGCTCAAAAACGTGTCTCTAACAGAAATTGGTCCAATAAAAGATACTACCTCACCCACCTTATCTCCATAATATCCTCAGATCAGCGTACCTACAATAACATTTTATTTTTGTCAGTAGAGGGAGTCTATCTTCTGTTTAAGTTTGTAAATAATTTGAGTTTTTGTTTGAGGATTAAATCACCAAACCCAAGAAACAATGCATATGCACTTGATTTTGCTCATGAGTAGCCCTATAAAGCCTGAGCATGAGTTTCTGCAGGAAAAAATAGCCCAAAATGCCATGTCTACACTACACTTCTGTTGTTAAATTTTTGTAAATACACCCTCCCCCTACAAACGACAAATTTTTTAACAATGAAAAGCGCCGGTTTGAATAGAACTCCCAGTGACAAAACTACCTCCCCTCATTGGAGGTGGTTTTATTTTGTTGCAAGATGAGCTCTCTTTAGACAATAAAGAGTGGCTACATTGCATACCTTACAATGGTGTGGCTGCAGTGACACAACCACACTATTGAAAGGTGATCTGTTTAAACCTATTCTTAGTTTTCCTGAAACTATCTAAAGCAATGGTGATAAGGTAAGAAAAATTTGCTTCTGAGATTACTTGAGGAGTGAATTTTCTTATTTATCCTTCTAAAATCTTAGTTTCTTTAAAATATTTTCTTTCTTTTTAATTGGGATCAATTGTCTGTATTAAAAAATAAACATGGATTACCTGAAAAGTTTTTTTTTTAATTACAGAGAGATTAGCCTGAAAATATTAAATAATAAAATTTAATGTTTCAATTCTATATTGGAAGCCAGTGATGGGGGAAGCTTTGTGTGTAATTATTAATTATGTGCTTGCTTGTTACCATTGACTTTAGTGGAGCTCCATATGGGTGCAGGAGAAGGTCGACTGCTTCTCTTCAGATATTTTGAAGATGGTCACTTTATGTTTTTTAAACTTGCACTGATTCTGGAAGCCTGACAGCTTCAAGTTTTTTCATATTTAATTTTATAATAATTGAAAAATTGTAAATGATCATTCCTAATAAGTGGATCCAATTATAATATTTCAACATATTAAAAAAACTAGGAAGTTTGCAACAATTTTACTGTTAGTGTCTGTAAAGTGCAGCTGTTTTGTTTAATGATTTAACATTGTTGTATAACCTTGATTTTGTATAGCTTTAATACTCTTTAAGCTTGAACAGTGACTATCTTGTGATTGTTGTAATATAATATTTGTGCAATAAGGGAGTGGCTTTTAATGCACTCATCAATTCTTAATATTCTACTCCATTCCTGTGGTCTTATCTGGGTGGTCCAAAAGCAAGAATCAATTTGTAACAGTGCTCAGTACAGTCCCAGTAATACCAAATTTAATAACCATGGTAGTTTAAGTCCTGGATTTTAAAAACTTTCAGTCAAAATGATGTTTCCTGATAGAACATGAACTTTCAAGTTTTAATGTATTTGAAGCCTATCTATATTTATTTGCCTCTATGTTAATTACACTTTAGGCTGTCTACATGCATTCCATCCATACAAAACACCCATAGTAGCTTTTGCTTATTATATAGGCCAATACCACAACCTTCTGACTTCATGACTACTTCACTTGTTGGCAGCTCTGGTTACGGTTGCCAGTCCCATATTTGCTCTCTTTGTCCGGTAAAAAAAAATCAGAGAATATCGGACATGTGTAATGTCCAGTATTCTCTGATTTTTCTGGCTGCGCACCGGACGGAAGCCTGGCGTGGGCGGGGGGGAGCGGCTGGAAGGCGGGGCCATGGTCAGCACTAGGAGCCTATGATTGTGCAGAAGCCTGGCAGGCGCAGACTTCCAGCCACTCCCCCCGCCTCCCGCCAGACTTCTGCGCAATCACAGGCTCCCAGCGTCGATGGCGGCCCTGCCTTCCAGCCTGGGAGTCCCCAGCTAGGAGGCAGAGCTGCGATCGCCGCTCTGGGCGCTTCAGAAGCCTAGCTGGGGCGGGGGGAGTGAGGCTTCTGTAGTGCCCAGAGAGATTCCATCTGGGGAGTCACAGCTGGGAGGCAGGACCGCGATCACTGCTCTGGGCGCTTCAGAAGCCTAGCCGGGGCAGGGGGAATGGCTTGGGGCTGGGCTGC